TGCACACTCTTTGTTCATGAAAATCCGCCATTCCGAAATCGCAGGAGGGTCGGTGTAATGCACTACCAAAACGCCCGTAACTAAGAAACAAATGCTAATTCGATGATGCCAGCTGGCACACTGATTCACTATGAATGTAGGCCGCACCCCTTAGCGGCAGAAGCTCGTACTACATCCAGTTCGCCCTCTATTGACACAGTCTGGAAACTTTCCGATCGCACCTCGTATACTTACCTTTGCTGACTTTAATGTAGGTTTTTTTAACATTCTTTTAAGTTCATACATCATATGAAAATGCTTCATATGTTAAAAATTTCAAATGTTAGTGTTAATGATAAAAATTGTTTGAGGTTATATACGGCAACTGTCACAGACCGGGGGATGCACTGAAACAAGTTATTAATCTGTATGATTTTTGTATTCTGTTACCATCTGTATACAAATAAATGGAAAGTTTAAAGGAAACTAGGTTTGGAAGTTCTTTCAGAACATGTTTTTTTTAAGTATTTGTTTCCATATTTGTACAGAGCAAGCCCTTCTGGATATTGGCAAAAGCAGTGCGAGACTTTGTGGAAAATGAAGGTGACGGGTGTTTGCCACTCCGAGGCTCTATTCCTGATATGACTGCTGAAACAGAAAAGTACATTGCACTGCAGCAAGTGTAAGTACTGAAACCGTTCTCATCTGTTTATGGGAAAGAAAGAGAATCTATTCCTTCCACAAATCCATCTGTGTGCACGTGCACGGCCTTCTTAAGCAGCTGTTAAGTCACTCGATTTGTCAAATTCTGCACATTTTATGACATGTGAAAGTTCATTACCAGGTTCACAAGCGCTTGCTACCTGTCTTTGTCCTGGACCAAAATCCAGTCCACATCACCTTCCTTAAAGATCCATTATAATGTTACCCTTCCATCCTCACCTGTCTCTTTTCTGCATGTATTCTGATGAAAATTTTCCATGAATTTCTCATATTACCAGGCATGCTGCATGTCCCACCCAGCTTATCCTCCTTGATTTGATCACCCTAATATTTTATGAAGCTCCCCATTATGCCTTTCTCTCTGTGTTACTTATTCCATACATTATCTTAGGTCCAGGATGAGAGACCAAGTTTCACACCCACACAATTATAGTTCTGTATGTTTTAATATCATGAATAACAGTATAAATCACAATGTTGGTGTTCTGGGCTGTGACACTGTATGGACTTGTGGGTAGATATTGACACTCTGGTGCCTCCATCATTAGCCACGAGATTGGAGGCGTATGTCCCTCAGAAATGTCGACGAGGCATCACGGCTCGGAAGACCAACACTGAAATCTTCACCGTTGTGAGAACGATAAATATCGACCAACAAAATGACTGAATACTGAAATTCACGACAGATGCTTGCAGCATGGAATGTGGCAGGTCTCATCGTTTCATTCCAGGTACCATAACCAAGCAGCAAAGGACTCTGAGGTTGTGTTCAGGTGTGTACAGCAACTGCTGCACCAGCTGAACCAACCCCCTGACACCATCACAGAGAAGGATGTGAAGCTGTTCTGCAAACATGCCAGTAGCCTGCATCTCGTTAGGGGCACATCTATCGCAGATGAATATGACCCAAAAACATCCAACGCTCAAAGTATTGGTGGGTACTGAGCTATAGAAACGATAGGTTTAGGAGTCTGAGAATAAAGACAACATGTACATGTCTGAAACAGAAGCTAGTGGTAACATTTTTTAAATCTCATGTTATAGTAAAGAAATACAAACTTGTTTTGGGATCTGCAATGGGAACACCCTTCATAGAGTTTAGTAACAATAAGGGAAAATGTGGAAGCTTGAAACCAATAAAGGCAAACTCCAGTGTTTGAAAATTTGGGTCTTTTTAATATTCTGATATGTACAGAACTGAATCCTAAATGAGGTTCCACGAACACATTTAAAATAAAGTTTAATTTTTCATAGCTGGAAACTTGGAGAACCCCGAGAGCACAATGGTATATTATGTTATGCTTCGTGGAGTGGACAGATTTTACTCCGAATATAATACGTATCCTGGAGAGTTTGACGACCAGGTGGAACCTGACATCATGAAGCTGAAGGTAAGGCACTTCATCAGTCGTGAACATTTCTCATGGATTTATCACATTTGCTTATTCTGCACACATATTCATGCCATATAAATGATCATTGAAATTTGTCAATTTTAGAAGGTAGAACTAGTAAAGTGGAAACTGCTCTTGCAGCAAGTTAGGGTCTGGGATTTAAATCCCTGTCATGTCTGCTGCAGTCACCACCCAGTTCATTTTAAGCCTTCATTCAGATATTAATATGCATCAGCAGATATTTGAACATAAAATTGTATAATATTTCTGCAGGCCTGTATCTCTAAACTGTTGAGTGAATGGAGTTGTGGGCCCCTGGCAAAAGATGACTATGTCCATGAAATTTGTCGTTACGGCGGGGCAGAACTGCATTCTGTATCGTCATTCATAGGTAAGCATCTCGGTCAGAATTTCCCTCTTTTACGATGTGTTAGTTTTTAATAATTCTGTATAATATTTACTTAATAATCCCGGTGATTACTTTTAAACCGCTGCTACAAGTTGTGAGAAAGTGTAAGAAAAATGTATTACCAAGACTTGTAAGATTTGAGGTTTTCACAGTGGTGAGTATGAAGATTTCTGTCTTCTGGGTTGTTGCACTGTGTAGTCCGGTCGATGTAACCAACGTTTGAGAGATCATACTGCCTCCGTCATCCACTCTCCCCTTCTCAACAATAGTCAAAAGGGGGAGGAGGTGTTCAGTTCTATGTGTCAGAGGTTCGCTTGGCCTCTGAAAAGGGGGTACTCAAAACACATCAGAGTACAATTGAAAAATAAAATCCTTTATTGTCTTAAAACAATTTATCACACATGCACCTTATAAAGGGGTCATAGATTGCCCTGCTACAAACAAGATAATTAAGAAACGAACATATAACAACAGTATGACCTCTGAAACGTTGGTTAACATCGACCAAACTACACAGCGCAAAAACCCAGAAGACAGAAATCTTCATACTAAGACTTTTTTGTTTATAGGAGGCTGTGCAGCACAAGAAACCATAAAATTCATCACAGGCCAGTACAAGCCAGTTAACAACACATTAATCTATGATGCTATTACTTCAAACGTTGCAACTTTTGTCTTTTAAATAATAGATCTATCTTTTCAAAGTTATATCAACAGATTTCATGCCATCTGTACATGGGATATTGTATTCCATATCTTTACAGTTTAGATATTTGACTGCTGTATTACTGATATATAATAAAATGTATGACAATTGGTGGTTTTAATTTCCAACATGAGGAGTAAGACATTTTCTCCCAAGCTAATGTTCTCAGGTTCAAGACAAGTCAGGTCTAGTGTGGATATTTCACTTTTTTCTAACCAAATAGTGCTTAATACTATGGATGGCCACAGGTTAGGTGAACTTTCAGATGTTGCTTCAAACAACAGTACTAATAAAATTGCTTTTCTAACAAGGGAATGGTCCGGTTGGTCATGACGAAACCTCGCCTGAAATTTTGCTCGTCTACAGAGCCCATCTAGTGATGATTGTACACAAAATTTCAGCTGCTGTGCAAGGGTGCGAAAAAATTGCTCAAAGTTGGAATGTTCAGTTAAAATTGATTAGTCTCCGGGGAGCTAGAAGCTTAACTGTCGTTTGCGCATAGTAGAGGAGGTGATTTAGTGACATTGTGATGCCATGCAATACGCTGATCTGTGACCTCAAGCGTTTGTAACGCCAGTGCAGTTCTGTCTGCACAGAAGAAGCCAAGTTGCGAACTAGAGGAATGTGCAAATAAACATTTAATTCGATGTTCGTGGTGCATACTGAATATATGCTTCAAACATTCTATTGTTGCTTCACATTTCTGTCACAATTATAGTGCATATTTTTGTACATTATTTTTTCGTACGCATTCTGCGAGCTCTGCTTGATTCCTAATATAAAATATACTGGAGAAATACCCGTCAAAAATTCAATTCAATTAATTTATTTACGTGTTTGCCAACAGCAAGAAGCCAATAACAGGCAAACACTGATAATACATACAATAATAATGAAATAATAATGAAAAATAGTACACAAACAGATTAACTAAACTTATACATGTACAGTATTAAATATAACTGCCAAGTACAGGCAAACCCAAAATAGAAACAATATTAACACAGAGCAAAATAAATGAAGAAATATAAATAAAAACAAATAATCCACCTAGGGAACACTAATATAATTGTAAAACGTTAAAGAAACATAAAAAACAGATAATGAAGCTAGATCATCTATCAATACAACCTATCTAGATCATTTCCCTTGTTGAGAACGTGCGCTCAACAACAATAATCTTTTGAAACCCATTCCCAACGTATTTTGCCCTGGCTTCGTTCTTTTATCGCGGTTACGCTCCTATCAACAGAAACCATCCTTGTCATGACAGTTTATCAGTGTTGAGGTCTTTGTTTCTGTAATCTCCTCTTCCAAGTAAAAACTCTGATCCTGTCGCCGTTGTTGTATCTTGTTAGTTTCGGAGTTAAAGGAACCGCCCGTCGGAAATCGAACTCAGGACACTTTTCCCAGAGTTCTGACCTTCCAGTGTTCTCTCATTTGTCTTAAGGAGTAATTACGCCATGTTTCTTTTTCACGAGCCACAAGCGAACGAGTAAAGAAACATGCGAACCCTCAATTTCGAGTTTACATATGACAGTAGATTCTGCAGTATTTACTAAGGGGAAATACGACAGTTTCTTACAAATTCATCTTCTAGAACTCAGGACAGTTTTCGGGTTTGTGACCTTAGTTAATCAGATCCTTTCCCAGAGACAAACGAAATTTGCCTTAGCGTCATTCTTTCCTAGTGCTTACTATCCGGGAATCGAACGAAGGAAACATTTTTCTCTCACCCAGAGATGGACTCAACAGCGCCCGGGCAAGTATACTAAAACCGGATGTTATTTTTAAATAAGGGCAAATTAAATTCAAAAATTTTCTTCATGCCTCTTTCCATTACTTTTAAATTTATTTCATTCTTATAGAGAAAATATTTAATATTAATTTATGCTTTTTACAGTTAGGATGGAATGTAACCAAATTATATCTTTGTATAATTCTCTTTGTATTCTTTTTAACTAAAAATAATGTGTAAATATAGAACGACAATGGTTAGCTTTTATATGAACACCTGCGTGTACAACAATTTAATAAGAAGTATTGGAATACAAGCATGCCGTAAGGCTCATTTCTTATGCATGCAGTATAATAGACTGAATAAACCGTATTGCACTCCATTCCTTTACTAATTGGTACGTCATAGTTTCCTTCGTCATTGTCGCGTCAACAATCCGCTTTCGTCAGTGTGGAAAGAGCTGAGCTGTGAATCGCTTTAAGAGAAGTGTGTTATAGACGAAATACTTTTGTGCTTTTAAAAGTCTTTCACAATAACCAAAGTACTTATCTTCTGTGAATTACTAAGAAATTCTTGACACCGTCCTTCACTCTCTCAATTTTATTTTGTGGTCTGTCTTCTTTCTACCACAAATTCAATCTTTTATTCCACTGACTTCTGTTTGTTTACGGCATCATTTATAATAAAATAATTCCGTTAAACAGTGTGGGATTCGAATTTCTAAAGTAACAAGACATGTTAGCCGAAATTCTTGATGAAACTGTTTAAACCCTTGAAAGCCTGGTGGCAAGTGTATATATACCACTTGCCTGCTTTAACAGTCAGTAGCTTTTCATTATGCATTTGTCGGATTCGTGTGATTCTCAGAGTAAAGAGTGATAATAGCCTTTATATGCATTAACCGGTTAATCTTTGTAATGGTGAAGTGTAGTGTTTTCTATGCGGTACGGACTGAATTTTTCCAATGATATTTAGACGAGCTTCGGCATCAAATGGTTAATAAATGGGGCCTGTTATGAAAGATAATTCACTTTAGATTTATTGATTCATGAACTTTGTTAGAGCTTTTGAGCGAGCTGCAAAGAATTCGTTTTATTTTTATTAATAATCTGTGTGCTATATAATTGTCTGAATAAACTGAAATGCACTCCATTCAGTAACCGTCCTCTGCTTAACTTCGAAGGTGCCGCTGGTTAACACCGCACAGCAACAGCCGTCCGGGGGTGGACGTGATGTTGGTGTTTGTAAAATGGAGAATGTTTTTAATTTGGGAGCATGCGTTTGATGTTGGGTATCCAACAATACCTCGCAGATCTGAATTGAGTTTTCCGTTGCGAAACATTTCAGAAAGTAAGATCGGGAAGTATTTTTGCTGGTTCGGTTCGCTTCGATGTAGTGTGCGCCGGCCTTACTTCCACCGCTTAGAAGCGGATGCCTACTTCCGGTCTAAACATTTGCTAAAATCCTTTAGGAATGACTGTGAAATAAAAATGTTAATAAATTGATATAAAAGGCTCATATCCTAATGAAGAATAAAGATTAAATTTACAAAATTAAGAAATCTAAACTAAAGTCAGATGCCTGGTTACAATTCCCTTATGGAGGAAACAATAATTTTACGTCATAATCACTAGTGCCTTTTTTTATAGTGTTAATAGTTTGTTTGTCATAGTTTTCGTCGCCATTGTTGTAATTTTTTCGTACCCTTGAACAGCGTATCTGCAGCTGAAATTTTGTGGGCAATCATTACCAGATGGGCTTTTTAGACGAGCAAAATTTCAGGTGAGATTTTGACATGACCATTCCCTTGCAGAGTATACTTTCATTCCCATTGTTTGAAAAAGCTACAACTGAATTTATTAATAAAAGTTTACAAAGAAGTCAAACAAATTATCAACGCAAGAAATATGTACAATACATCTTCAGAATGAGACATGCTCTGAAGTGGCTTTTTGACAGAATTTGTTCATATAAACACAAACTGAACTTATTCTTTAATTACTTACACATTCCTGGTTGTGCCATTTCTGTTTCTTGACCACATTTATCCCATACACTGGTTGGTGTCAAGTAGTGTTAACAGCTGACAGATCCCCACATCATCATTCTGAGCCATGACCATAAGAATGTTTCAGAACTATTCAGTGATATTACACAACTGCTGTCTGGTATTCTGCACTTGTGATCCAAGAAATCTAACTTCTCTTGTCAGTACCTGCCATAGCTGACTAACCCTTCTTTATAGGGCAATGGCAACTGTGTACCACCCACTTTTATAATCAGGAACTTGGCTCCCACACAGTCTATTTGGGGGTTTCATTTGTTTCCAAAAATAAACAGCAAATTTTTTTTAAATATTATTATAAGACTGAACTTCAACATGATGCAAAATCCACTTGTTTCATATGTTTTATCTTGTGCTGCCACAAACATCAAAACTTTGTTGACAATTAGAACAAAAGTAACCTAGTAGATAATTCATCTCATATTATAAAAGTGGATTAGTATGGTTTTAATATTTTATTTTGACATACATGCTTTTAAAGTCTTTGAGACTGTAATTTTGTTTGAGCCATATTGAAAGACCCAAGTCTTAATCACCAGTCACTATTTTTTTTATAAATATTTTTCCAACACTCTCTGGAAGGTCTGAGCAAATCTTTGTCATTTTTTGACAAGTAAACAAAACATGGTGCCAATAAATGTACTGCAACCACAGAACAAACAGAATCCCAATGACTGACGCAGAAGTCATGTCATTACACACGAAGACATTCAAACTCTTTTGAGTGTTGCTAGCTGCTGCATAAAAACATCCAGTCATTATGAAGTTAACACCCATTCCGCTGAATTAAATGCATTAAACCATCAGAAACCCATGGAGATATCTCATGCCCCTAATAGAAGTATTTAATCTACTGGTGTGCCAAAGGTTTACAGTAACCAGAAACTGTAAATGGCAGGAAGAACCCTGCATTCACTCTTCATTCATATAAGTATAATTTAAAAAATGCAATACAGCTGAGTTTAGTGGGGAAAGTCATCTAACACTACCACAACACCGTAGTGGTGGGACTGAGAGCAAGGAATATAAAGCTGGAGAAATGACTGAATCAACAATCCTAATCTTCTGATTTATTTACTTAATACCACTGTTTAACTACAACTAGAGAAGTATTACTCCTGTCAACATTAAATTATTAAAAAAACAGGTATTATATACTGAGACTGTACAAATAATAGAACAAGTTCACGATTCTAAATTAAATAATCAAAAGGAGAGACTGTGTCAAAAGTACTATCAAACACTCCAGAATGGTAGCACCAGGCTTGCTGTTTGGGACACTGCTCACACGGCTATACCAATGCATCCCTCCAGCACAACCCTAACTAATAAGCCATAGATGAGATTTACAACCTTTACAATGAAAACAAGAGATTACAAGGTGATGTCTGTTGACAGATTAAAACATATAGTATTCACCCTCTTCCCATTTGGTGTGGCCTACAATTCACAAAGGTTCTGGCAAAACTTTCTGGAATCCTTAATAACTATTCGTCTGTGAATTAAGGCATTGCATTGGAAAACGTTTAGTCTAATCAACTACCTGTTACATTCACAAATTGTATTACTAAAAGTGAATATTATTATACATGCTCTTAAGATTTTTATTACATATTTGGATGGTTACTTCCATGAAACACTTCCTCTGTCAATTGTCCTCGTAAGTACCTTCCTAAACAGTTACCCTATCGGGGACCTTCCATGAAGCACCCTTTTCAGGGATTTCCGTGGAAGTGCCATTTTAAAGGCATTTTCCTGTTTCCCCCCCCCCCCCCCCCCCCCCATCTCTCAATAAATTTTTGACAGCAACAACTTGGTTTGCTGGATACAGCTTCCTCACCCACATGACTTTGAAAATATTGTGTTCTAAGTAAAGCTGCACGCACCTCTAAAAATATATTCTGACTTCAGAAAACAAACTGTGCAATCAAAATGAACACAGCATCAACAAAGCACAGACTCTCAACTGCTGTTTGCTGAACACAGTGCTGAAGATTATTCCAGTTTTATCAGTTTTATTTCATACAGTATCTGTATTAACAAAATTATGAAACTATAATGTCATGCTAAATCCAAATATAAGACATTTGCTGGATCAGAATTTAAAAAAAACCTCTTATGAGAAGGCCATAAAACTCGTTGCTTTTATCTGCCACTTCTGGACCACCAAATGTCATATTTCAGGTTTAACTGTACAGGAATTCAACTTACGTAAAAACGAACACCAACTTCAAATACAGTGAAGGTATGAATCCATCCCAGAGTAGTTTCATAAAATGTCAGTCTCTTTACAATTAACAATTATGTAGAAATTGGGAATACTAATACATATGTAGGGGGGAAAAAATATACAGGAAAGAACAAGCAATTGGGTGGTGTAATCTTGCTGCCAGGAAAAGCTTATTCTACATATGAACAATCTAATTTGCTTCACACAGCCCATCTAGCAAATGTTAAATTAAAGGTGCACTTCCCTCATAATTCAACTTCAAACAGTGCTACCTTGCTGTTGAATTTTGCCCTATATAACACATTATGTACAAACAATGGTAAGCCATTCAATGTGAGTCGCCCACACAAAATTAACAAAGTCAAAAGTTTGGGGACACCTTTGAATGGTGAAGTGTCTTGGCTTGTAAACAATTATTAAAGATTTTCTCTCCAATCCCAGCTTCCTCTCTCCAGCACACATAAAATGAGGATTAAAAGCAAAAAGATGTACAGAAATCTAGAACAGATGTGTGGCAGGAGAATATGTCACAGTTACTCAAGGCAATTTTATAGGAAGGGAGGCATGTGACCTGAAAAATAATGAAGAAAATGAGAATGTAACATGGCATTGAGAGGAAGAGGGGTGGGTGAGTGGCACACGCAGACTGACTCACAAATTTTTTTTATAGTGCTGCTGCAGTTGAATATTCAGAGCAAGAATTTTCCGAGTATGATCCCAACCAGTCCCATGAAAAGGGCAAGCACTACATACATCATGGGAAGAGAGGCTGTAGTAACAGCAGTTCCAGATGCCAGGATGGGTGCAGTTGAGTCGAGTGCTGCCACAGCAGGTGAGCGGCGCAGTCTGAGGATCTCCTCCTAATACCAAAAACATTGATCAATTGACAACTTGCAGAATATGCTGATGATGAAGCACACCTCCAAAGTATTTTCACCAACATTCTAAGGGAAAAGCAGAATTCTTGTGCTTTGGAAGCAGTGTCTTCCTACCATTTAATGGGCACTTTGTATATTGGGTACAATAGGAAAGAAAAAAATACATACCATACTTATACTGCAAACATGCTTTACTTTAAGTTTAGGTTAGTTACATTTTATGTTATGGTTCATCTAAAATTGTAGTGACAGCTGGTTATAATACAGTTACAGGTGGAGTGTCAATTAAGTACTGAGGAAGGGAAATATTCCCTCCTTTGTTACCACTGATTTGGGGGGAGGGGGCCTAGCAACTGATCACTCTCTCATCTATACATAAATTTATGAAGATAGTAATTAATCATGTCAGTATTATGACTCAGTGAACATCTCATATTTAACACAATACCACATTATTCATATGGCAACTGTTTCCTTACCCACAAAAATCACAGAATGGTTGTCTGACAGCTGTATAAAGCCTCAATTCTGAAGATGACACATAAGCTTATCAATAGTTGGAGTAACCAGCTCTGGTCTATTTTAAGTACTATTCTAGCATTTGCCCATCTCAAAATAGCCAGCTGAGTACAAAGGCAGGAATTCCCAAACATGACACTAACCACTAACTTCAACATAAGATCAGTACCTTTAGTTGGAGATTCTCTTGCCTTAGTGAGCTCTCTTCTTCTCGTAAATGTTTCACTTCTGCAGCAGCCTTCAAGAGTTCACCCTCCACTGTGGAATTAGGCTGTAACAAAAGTACTCCTTGTGAGTGAAGTTCAGCAAATGTAAGCAACCATGCAGTCACAGTTGCACAACTGCTCAATACCTTAGGAGAAGCTTTAACACCGTCTCCAATCCTCTTTGCTTTTTCCTCATGTACAGCCGGTGAAACGTCTACATTGTTTTCTTGTGGCCCCGTTGTTGCCGGATCCACTGGCATTTCAAACACACATTTCAGTTTTGAATCCATCAGGTTGTCTGGATTTACATCTTTCCACTATAAATGAAACATGGCAGTACATTAGTTATTGGTCATCATTATATTCTTTTAATCACATTATAATTTTCCCATTTCATATAACCATAACCATTCTATAGATGAATCCAAAGGATAAGAAACACAAATATAGTCACTGCATGCATTTCTGGACCAGTTCCATCCACCATGTTAATTCTGTCCTTCTACCCTCTCCTCAGTCTTCCAGGTACCTGTTTTCCCAGAGGTTTCCCACCAAAATTCTGTAAGAATTCATCTTCCCCTCTTAATTTAATGACCCTAAGAAAACTAGGTGACTTACATTAACCACAGAACTTGTTATGTAACATTCAAAAATTTCCAACTAAATTCAGCCAGCTTGGACCTTAATCACTTTTCTTTGCATACACTTAGCTTTCTTAAAGGGTTGATGTACAGTGTTGTCCTACCCCAGCAAAGGCTGTTTTTGGGGGTCCTTTATATCTTTTGGGATACTGAAGTTTCAATGTTAACCTTAACTGTAAAGGCCTTTAGTCATGCACAAATATATACTGTTCTTTCTTCAAGTATATTTTTCATACAATAATTTCTTTCTGAAGGAAATAAGGAAGAGACATGACATATCTGCTTCAAAAAGGAAATGCATATGACACGTGTCAAGTTCAGCATCCTACATTTGAAGCAGTACTACTAACATAATACTTGCAATTTAGTCTAGAACATAATATGCGGTTATCAGTAATGAACATACCAGTGAATCCATACTTATTTCCCCATCCGGTGCGATCATCGTTTGAACCATGAATTTATGTTTGCTTTTTTCATTAGGATCAAAGTCAAATGGTTGTAGACTAACTGAAAACAAATTATAGGTGTAAATGATAAAACAATATATCATAACCATATTCTTAATCATGCAGAACAATAACACAGTATGTTGGGATTGGTAATAAAAATATCACTTTCCACTGCCTTAAACTGTCATGATCAGTCACTATGTGTACTCAGAATAATGTAAAAATATCACATTTACTCACATTTTAATAACATATTCATGTCTGGAATTTGTAGTGGATTAAATATGCAATACTATTCACACAGTATAATTTTACACATTATACTGCAGTCAGAAAACAAAAGTTATAGTGCTTTTCATTCCTTTCCTCACAATTTATAACCAATACTCTGAACCTGAAAGTGTCTGACACACATTAAAGCTGGTACTTATTACTCCTATTTTAACATAATACCATACAAACCCCTTATCTGTAATGGATACATTAAGAACCAATGCTTTAACGCCTTTAACAGGAGAGTCCTAATAATAAAAGATTATTTTTAAGGCAGCTTCCCTTCCTCTTCCTTTCAATTACGTATAAGTGAATCTGTGTTTATCAAGAAGAAAATCATCCACCTATACAAAAGACAACATCTATGAAGATCTATGAATAGATCAATTCCACCACATAAAAATTTTGTTAGATTTTAAAGCAAAGGCAGGGAGAGAAGATATTTTTGAACTGACAGTTGGTAACAAAAGCTTACATGAAACTAGCAATGATAATGGGGTTAGACTTGTAAACATTACCACATAAAATATGTCAAGAGTACAATGTTACCACATCACAAAATTCATTGACATACTTGGACTTCTAATGGACCACATCTTGGTGCAATGAAAACAACACACAAGTATATTTGATATCCAATCTTTCAAAGGCACTGACTGTGATACTGCCCACTAATGGACAGTAACAAAACTTAGGGAGAGACTACTGGTAGGTAAACAAGCAAACACAAAAGTTTGATATTTCATGTCAAGAAGTAAAATGATGATGTTACAGTACAGTATCAAATTAAAATCTCAAATAGGTATGCAGCTTCAGAAAACTTTGATGAAAATGTAAACAGCAATAAGGCCTGGTACAATATTACGGAAAATATAAAAAAATACTTCAGCCAAGACAGTCTAGGTGATCATGAGTTAAAGCAATGCAAACCATAATATGATAAAGAATGATCAAAATTATTAGATAAGTGGAAGTATGCTAAACTGCAGATTGTAGAATCAAAGTTTAAGAAATAATTTGAATGATACAAGATGTGAAAATGTAACACATTTAAAATATTTGGGTAACAAATAAAAATTATGTTCACAAAGAAATTAAGAGTAGGTTATATTTGGGAATGCTTGCCAATATGCTGTTCAGAACCTTTTGTCTTCCTGGCTGCTATATAAAAACACAAAGAGAAAAAAATTCAAAATAATGATTTTACCTATTCCTAAGTAAGAGTGTGAAAATGGTCTCTCACAATGAAGAAAAAAAAAGACTGAAGGTGTCTGATAACAATGTACTGAGGACAGATGAAGTGACATGAGGCAAGAGAAGACTGTATAATGAGGAGCTTCATAATTTGTATTCTTCACAAATTATTAAGTTTATCTAGCCAAGAGTATGAGATAGGTGGAGCATAGTATGCATGAAGGAAATAAAAAAAGGTATAAAAATTATGGTTGGAAAACCTGATGGGAAGAGACCACTCAGAACACATAGGTGTATATAGAATAATATTAAAATGGACCCATGGAATGTATGTAGGAGGGAATTGATTGGATTCATCACACACAAGACAGACCAGGGGCAGGTCCTTGTAAGCACAGTAATTAAACTTCAGGTATCATAAGACAGGAATTTTCTTCACTATGTGAATGACTGCCAGGTTCTCACAAAAGGACTCTGGATAATGGAGTAAATTAGATGTGAAGAGCAAATAAAACAGACTTCAATAAATATACTAACAACAAATTACACATTAATCTAAAAGTAGGTTATGATGATAAAACAACCAAAATAGGATTAAATAAATACATTGGCCTACTAAGTGATAAATGGAATATAAACCAAGTTCAGCATGATTTGCTATGAGGACAATCACAACACTCATGAAAATGAATACCATAAAATTAGTTGACTTTGCCTATTTCTCATCCTGAGGTTTCCTCAGTTGATCTTTAATACATACTTTTCCTTATTTCCATGCCATCATTTCCTACAGAGTAATCTTCTGGGAGAAACTTGACAATCAAAAAAATATTTAACATCCAACAGATCATATCAGAAATGCAGATATTTAATGAACAAGTGTCAACATAAAATTACACTAGAACATGTTTAATTTACAATTGGCTTATTTTATCACAAATTTTATAAACTGCTAAACGCAACAATGCTAAACGCAACAATGTCAATAAACAGTTCAACAATGCCAACCCCAACACATCACAATACGTTATAAAGCAAAGTAGCACAATGATAATATCAAACTAACAAACAAAACATATTTTTCTGCTTACCTGCAACATCAATTATTCCCTTTGCATCCAAAACTCCTGAATTTGGCCGTACACAGTATTTCTTTGGTGCTGTTGTTTTAATTTTAAAACAGACTTTCTTTTCAGACGGATTTGTTAATTTCATATAAGATGTAACAGGTGATGTAAATGGGCCTGAAATTTAAATGTAGGGAACTGTATCACATACATGACTTGTAAAACTACACACACTACATTTGTATCACAATATAAACGTGTTCTAACCACCAAAAGCTTCAATAAATTAAAACAACATTCAATACAGAATTGTTTATATTCTACAACAAAATGCTCCGATCTATTACAATCTGATGTGCAAGTCATGAAACGAGAAAGGAAATACCTACACAAATATAGCTAGGTTAGTGGCTCCAACATGCATCATTGGCCTGTCAACGTAAATCAGAGCTTGCGAACCGAGTATTGAGCCTACTTTATGAACACTAGCACATTATCTACTAATGTTGGTATAGAACTTCACACTTCGGGGTCTGTCTATACACTAGCCAAAGGCTTGGCCAACAGTCATATAGATATATCGGCAGCAGTATAATCCACGCGTTTCTAAGCTTACCTCGAAATTTTAGTTCATGCTGTGGCTCTATTATTAATACTTGTTCTTGTTTTGCCATAATTCTGTCCTATGAAAGATATATTGGAATATGAAAATCCCTCACAAATGGCTTCAATTCCAATCCCGGTACTGTCGACTCTCGTTTTCAGATAAATACGCATGCGTCACGACAGGAATATGGCTGCTTAACATGACGTCATAGTAATGAATCTAGTGAGTCAATGTAAATACATATTCATAGAGAACGATTTGTAACAACATTTTAAACGGCTGTATAGCATTCAAATGTTCTTAACACGGATTACTACAAACAACGTGTGATATTTTCAGTTGTAAATATTATCTGTGT